CAGCCGCTGCTTTTTTTAAAGGGAGAGACCACGCCCCAATGGGCTGGTAACTCAGCGGCGATTGGCTGAAGGAACTCCCACAGCACCTCTGCCTCCTGAATACTGGGAATAAAGACGTGTGCCGCCCCACCCAGCAGATTCTGGGTTTTGTGACCGAGTCTTGTTACATAACACATGTTGTTCTCCACTTTGTCATCTTCCAGCCTCTGTCTCCCCTGTGTTGGGATTACAGGTGTGTATCAAGTACAACATGCTCATAACCTGAAGAAAAGGCCTTTGACAAAGTCCAACCACCTTTTTTAGTTGTTGTTGCTTTTCAAGACAGGGTTTCTCTGTGTAGCTTTGGAGCCTGTCTTGGCTGGCACTAGCTCTGTAGACCAGGCTGGCTTCGAACTCCGAGATCCGCTTGCCTCTGCCTCCTGAGTGCTGGAATTAGAGGCAGCACCGCCACACCCGGCTCACCAGCTTCTTTTTAAACACAGATGTTAGTTTTCATGCATACGTGTGTGCTGATGTTTCTATGTGAATGTGTATGCACACATGCATGGGGTGACCTTGGAGACCAGAAATGAGGACAGGATTCCTTGGAGCTGCCCCATTTGGGTGCGGACCCAAATTGGTCCCCATGACTGAGCAGTAAATGTTCCTAACAGCTGAGCTGTCAGCCACAACGGTCATTCTTTTCTTTTCTCTTTAAGTTTATGCTTATGAGTTGTAGGCCCATATTTCTACATGGTGTGACAGCCAGGCTCTCAAGCGATAGTTAACACCGGAAGTGGTTGTGTAACCTTCCAGACGGGCCGTCGGGCCATCGCTACCCCAACAAAAGGTCAAGACGTTGCTTTGCTCCTTCTCTGTAATTTGGAGGAAGCCTGAATAGAGATGCTAATTCAAGCCTACGTGACTGAGCTGGCATACAGAGCAGAGAAACGTGACAGCAAGCACAGGTAGATGTGGACGTGACTAAAAGCCATTCACCTGGTTACCTAGGAAACAGAATGCTAAGGAAATTTCCCCCTCAGTTCATGTTTTGATATATAAGGCTGATTGGAGAATAAGGCAGGGGAATTCTTCAGGATGTGAACTCAGGACTTCATGAGGGACCACTGAGAATCTCCCTCCTGATAAAGCCATGTGAGTTGTGTCTTTATTCCCGCACCTCCACATCAGTCCAGGGAGAGATAGTTTATGTTGGGGTCTGGTCCAGAGAAATAAATTATGTTCCAGGCTAGCACCAGACTCTGACAATGAGTGCTTTGCCTGCATGCATGTGTGTGCATGACATGTGTGCCTGATGCCTGTGCAGGGCAGAATAGGACATTAGATCCCTTGGAACAGGAGTTACAGACATTTGTGATTGTGGATTGCCATGCAGGTGCTGAGAATTGAACCTGGGTCCTCGGCAAGAGTAGCAATGCTCATTTAATTAATTTTTTAGTTTTTGGAGACAGGATTTCTCTGTAACTTTGGAGCCTGTCCTGGAACTAGCTCTGTAGACCAGGCTGGCCTCCAATTCACAGAGATCCACCTGCCTCTGCCTCCTGAGTGCTGGGACTAATGGTGTGTGCCACTGTAGGGCCATATTATACAGGCCCATATTTTTACATTGTATGGTGGTCAGACTCTCAGGCCATAGTTCACGCCTGCCACACAGAAGGTGGGCACCGAGACAAACTGACGTCATGCTAAACAAGGCTCAGGATCTGCTACTGTTGCTCTACTTCTTCTTTGTAATTTGGGAGGTCGCCTGGGAAAGAGGTGTTAATTTAGTCCACGTGACAGAGCAGGCATAGGCAGGAAGATGTGACAAAATGGGCATAGAAAGGTGTGGACGTGACCAGTCATTCTGGTTACCTAGGAAACGGAATGCTAATGAATTCCCCCCTCAGTTTACATTTTGGTATAAATGCTGTTTGGAGAATAAACGCGGGAAATTTTCAGGATGTGAATTCAGGATTCCATGAGGGATCCCTGAAAACTCCCTCTCGATAAAGCCATGTGAGTTGTGTCTTTATTCCTACACCTACCCACTGGTTCGAGAAACAATTTATGGCCTGTGCTCATCCCAGACCATGACATATAACGCCCGGACGTGGGACTGATTCATGCACCCCACAAAACACGGAAGGAGTGGCCAGACATATGGAGGAGAACGTGAGGGACCCGCGAGAGAAAACTGCACCGCGGAAGTAAAGAGAGCTCAGAAATAGAGATCAGAATTTAAAGAAATATAGAGAAGTGGAAAAATTAAATTGGGAGTAAAAATTTTATAAAATATATATATATGACACACACACATACAAATATGACAAGGAAAGAGTATTCAGTTATATATGCGGATAACTAAAGGAAGTTAAAGTGGAACAGAAACAATAACAGAGATGTTTAGAATCTGTAAATGTGATAGTCGCAGAGATACAACTTTTATCACTGCTAAACAGGTAGGAAAAGTGAAGGAAATACGGCATTTGGCCCAAGAATCGCCTAGGTTTGCACTGAGAGTGTTGCAGTCCACGCACATGCGCAGTAGCCAGCTGAAGCTAACCCACCTGTGGGTGAAAGGCAACCAGGAGACAGAGCAAGTTTAGAGAGCAAATTTTACCACACACAGTCAGCAGCCCAGAGCCGGCCCATAGAACAGAGGAGCGGATTCAGAAATTCTCCTAATTTTATGATTACAAGTTAAAATGAAAAAGCAGAGATAGTTAAGAATCAGCGCAGCTACACCCGCGGCATGCTATGTTATTAGAGCAGCCACAATGGCAGACACCAGAGAGCCTGTAAATGTATCAGCCACTGACCTCTGATGGGACTTAGAAACTTAAAAAGTATGGCCTGCATCGCCGGGTCCCTAGTACCCAGAAAGACAAAGCCAAGAGGTGGACTGAGGGAGCATGTGACCTGTCCACCCCGCCCCCGCTTCCGTGACCAGGCTTCAGCTAGGAGCTGACAGGCAAGTTTGAAAAAAGGTAGCCTCAGGGAACTGAAGCTTCAGGACAGTTAAAAATAAGCAGGCTAGGTATGCTTTCCTTCCGCACTTCACATTTTCTGCTTCTTCATCAAAATCCGTTTGTAGGTGTGCGGATCGCTAACAGTTCCTTTGATCCTCATATCCGTTTTCAAGCTGTTTTCAGTACTGCGGGTCCTGTAGTGAAGTTTGCAGTCAGAGATTGTGATGCATTCATTCCTTGATTGTACAAGATTGTTTAGGATTAATTAGGCTATCCTGAGTTTTTGTTTTCCACACGAAGTTAAGGTTTGTTCTTTCGAGGTCTGTGAAGAATTTTGCTGTAATTTTAATGGGCATTTGCACTGTATCTGTAGATTGCTTTTGATAAAATTGCCGTTTGTTACTATGTTAATTCTACCTTCACAAGAGAATAGGAGATCTTTCCATTTCCTGATGTCTTCAATTTCTTCAAAAATTTAAAGTTCTTATCATACAGGTTTTTCCACTTGTTTAGAGTTACTCCAAGATATGTTATGGTATTTATGATGATTATATAGGATGATGGCTCTCATTTATCATATGTGTAGAAGTGGTGCATTTAGGTTGTTTTCAGATTCTGGCTATGATAAAATAATTTCTGCTGTGAACCTCATTGAGCACATATCCTTATGGTATGGTTGAACGTCCTTTGTGTATAAGCGCTAAAGTGGTATTGATGAATTTTAAGGTAGATTGTTGCCTAATTTTCAGAGAAATGCCATACTAGTACCCAAAGTGGCTGTGCCAATTCGCACTCCCACCAGCATTGGAATTTTTCTTTACCCCACATTTGCTTCAGTATAAGTTGTCATCAGTGTTTTTGATCTTGGCCATTCTTATAGGGATAAGACGGAATCTCAGAGTTGTTTTGATTTGCATTTCTCTGATGGCTAAGGATGTTGAGCAGTTTTTAAGTGTCTTTCAATCATTTTAAGTTCATCTGTTGAGAGTTTTCAGTTTAGGTCTGTACCATATTCCATTCTATAGGCTGATATTATATCTTGTTGACTATGTTCTTTGCTACACAGAAGCTTCTCAGTTTCAGGAGATCTCATTTATTTATTGTTTCTCTCAATGTCTGTGCCACTGAGGCTGTACTTGAGATGTGCCAATGCATTCCAGTATGCTTCCAACTTTTCTATGAGGTTCAGTGTGGTTGGTTTTATGCTGAGGTCTTTGATTCATTTAAACGAGTTTTGTGCATAAAGATGAACATGGATGTTTTTATTCTCCCACACGTTGATGTCTAATTAGGCCAGCACCGTTAGTTGAATATGCTTTCTTTTTTCCATTTCCCTATCAGCTAGGCAGACTTGCAACTTATAAGGAAGATAGTTTACAAACTTTTAATTAGATATACAAAAAAGTCTTAATTATAATATTCTTATAGGAGACCTTGAGCCACTACATAAAATTCTTAAAGGGAACAATGAGCCAGTTTCCAATAGACAGCTTACAAAATCTGCCATAGGTACTCAAGCAGGTAGAGTATATCAATTATGATTCAGCTATGGCAAATGTGTATATTAAGTACAAAACTTATTCTACAGCAGTTTTATGAAAAAACACTCTGCACTTTCCCATTTTGCCAATTAGGATGTTAAACTCTTAATTTGAAGCAGTAGCTCGTTGAATACAGAGGAGCAGGATGAACCTAGGAGATAACTGATAATTTTAAGACAGTGATTTTTGGACAATTGCATTTGCTCAATTAAAAAGCCAGAGTAATAATCCTTTCCCAGATGATCGTTGCTGCAATTCACAGAACTATATTTTGCTAATGTTATAGCTAAAGATCCCTTAAAGGATGTTATGCTAAAATTTTACAAAAGGCTCTTCCAATGGAAGGCCTGCATGTATGGTTAATAATGAAGAGGCACTGTGGAGCCAATGGAAGGACTGCATATATGGTTAGTAATGAAGAGGCACTGTGGAGCCAATGGAAGGCCTGCATGTATGGTTAGTAATGAGGAGGCACTGTGGAGCCAATGGAAG